CGAAACATTTCTTCGGTTCACTTTGCAGTTGACCTTTGCTTCAGGTTGTAAAATCTACAACTCGTCTGTTGTGTTTTGCGATTTTTCCTGAGCTACAGAAAAGTGTTTCAAACTCTTACACTTCTTCATATCATCGGATTTAATGCATTAAAAGATGTCCTCCTTGAAAAGGTTTGATAACGCGCCTTTATCTATTAAAAAATGAGGACTTATACAACAACAATTGTTTGACAAGCCATGTCTGCATGTACAAGAGCAGTCTAAAATAACAATCTTTTGCGATTTTTCCTGCTGACATGGTTTGCTGAATCGGAATAAAAACCACACAGAATAAAGCGCACAGTAATGTAGATGAATGTCTTTCTTTGTACTATATCTGCCGGTTTATACAGTTGCTGTGGTTGAAGGATTTACGCAGACTAACGCTGTTTCAGCTCGAATCTGAAACTGAATCTGAATCTACATGAAATTTGAATCTTAACGAAAAATATCCGGGGGCGCCTGATATCCTATCGTTTTTTCATAAAACGATTCCAAGACCTTTTTTGCAAAAGGTATTGGGCTGCTTTTGACATAATTCAAACTTCAGCATAATTTACAGTCAACTGGCTAAGATTCAGTGTAAAGACAAACAAAACGTCGCTTATATCAGACTAAACGAACTGTGATGATAGTCTTAATGTCCGCCCGGATTTTCTATTCCAACACTGGTTGTGCTTTGCGATTTTTCCTGCCGAAACAACAAGCTGTTTGAAAATAACAAGTGCGTTGTATCATTTTGTGATAGTTGTAGATGAATGTCTTTCGCAAACGAATATTCCAAACTAAGCGTGCGACGCGTGAGAAGTGTTTATTCTCTCAGCTGCGTTGTTTTCGCTTCAGGTTACAAAAGCCGTATCTCATGATCTATGATTTGCGATTTTTCCTGACAAAACAACTAACGTTTTTAAGACCTAGTTTGCTTTATACGATTTGCTATAGTGTACTAATGAATGTCTTTCAGAAATTTGGGAACTACACGCGTATTTTACGATACAAAGCGAAATATAAGTTTATCGACAGGTCAAGACAAACATGGCGCAGTAAGAATTCACGCGTTGGTCGTGTAGTTTCTGCGATTTTTCCTGGCTTCACGTTATGAGCTAAAAATTAAAATATAGTTTTGTCAAATGCGCAATAGTCTGATAATGGGATGTCCTTGATGAATTACGTTTATTCCGTGAAAAGAGACTGAGCAATTCCACATTTTGTACCCCCCGTTTCATATTCAAATCTGAATATGAATCTTAATCTTGAATCTGAAACTGTAGAGCGGATCGTCAAACAATGGCGGAAATTCGCTGGGGGGGGCAAGCCTCCTAAATTTCCGTCAAAACTTTCAAATTTATGACATCCCCCCCCCATCTGCACTCGAAAAGACTGTTTTTAGCCCTCTTTTAGGTCAAAATTTCCGAATATTCGTCATTCGATTTCCGCCACTGGCTACAAATGGATAATCTTGACTCGATTTGTGGACACCCACAAAACAAGCTAAATACCAAACTGACAAATTGAGTATTGCATAACAGTAGGGTTAGTAAAGCTTTCTTCTGAAATTAATATTTAAGAGACCCCCTTAGTTTCGTATACAATATTAATAAGCAAAATTTTTGCACTGTGAAGTCGTCTTACAGACGCTTTGAAGACTGCGGAGTTTCCAGAATCCAGATCATATCATAAATGACTATCTTGATCGATCGCGGATTGACAATACGGTCAATGCGATCTTCATTTCTATAGGTGGGTTGTAGACTTCAGTTTTCTTGAAAAAACGTAAAAGCTCAGAAGGGTGATGATTAAGTCTTGTAAGGTGAGCCCAGTTTACCATGAGTTGCCAGCTTTGCAATCAGACTACATGTACAGTGCATTGAAGAAGTCAGTGTCCAGCTAATTTTGGCGGATTTGTAGCATTAACATTTGCACTGATGAAATGTGGTTCTTAGTGTCAACACCGGATAATCTGCCTGTGCATGTACTTATTTGAATGACCTGTTGTAAAACATGGACTGGACTAGACTGGACTCAGAAGCATGTTTTACAACATGCCTATTCGAATAAATAATCTGCCGAAAAATACGTTGTCCCCCAGAACATTTTGAAATTTAGAGTGGCCGAAATGTCATTCATGCCCTGTGGGGGAAGATTTTACAGAATTAAGATGATCAAACAATTTTTTAAATTGCTCATACCGGTCTACTAGCGGGTTTTTGTTCCCCACAAATTATTTGGTAGATTTGCCCAACTATTAAACCTTGTCTTTGGAGGATCCCCTCTTTGGATTTCATGAATTTAGACATAACAATGAATATATAAATAAAATGATAAAATGTCCGTATTGCTTCAAATTACACAACCTGAGCTTGACGAAATTTGATTTCCATGGACTTTGACTTGTTTATCAAATTGATACAATTTGACTTATTTATTAAATTAATACATTAATTTTCATTTTGAAAATGTTCTATCGTTGCCCCCATAGGGGTTTCTCGCCTCCATAGTTGTATCGTTACATCATCGTCTCCAGACCCGAGGACAAGGATGGTTCAGGTCACTATATACACCCAAGTTACGCCCTTGCATTCTAGACAGAGAGAGAAAAGAAGTTGCGTTTTCCTAACATTTTCAATATGGGGGCTATGACCATGCATGGACTGACATTCAACCCTTGCTGGGGTTGTAGGCCGGATAGGGTAAATACGGTTAAAAAATACGAATCAGACACACATTTCAAGTGTTTGACAATTCTGTTTACCATTTTTCTCAGATCAAAGAGTTTATCACGACTAACTTTTGAAAGAAATAATTCGGGCACAAAATAATAGTAAATTCTCACGGAAATATTCATTGAATGTGAAATAAATTAAAACGAGAACTAGATATGATCATGATCCGATCACTGTATTCAATAATAATTCGCGTATTGATGACTTTCCATTGTTTTAGAAATCCCACTGTTCCACTCCATAGTCTCCATATGTTTTGACTTATTTTTCAATTCTTCAGTAAAAAGCCAGCTTAAATTTCCAGCTGACCAACGCACAGTTAATTTGTTTTGATCAATTTTTGGTGCATTTACAATAATAGTAAATAAGTAGTGATTGCTATAAAGATCACGACAATAAACGTACCTTCGCAAACTCAGCAAATGCTGAAATTAAAATTCAATTTCATTTTATCACCTATATAGTGAGTATAGACTATAGTGAGAGACTGAGAGTAGTGATTAGTGTTGACCTATGCCTATGGCTATAGGTAAATAAATATTATAAGAAATACTGAAGTTACAAAAGTGAATAGCGAATAAACTAGGGTCCAAAAGTTTTCCCTAAATTTGTGTCATCCAGTGTGATTGACTCCACTTGTGATCACTTGACTGCACATGAGTTAATTAAGGTGTTCAAAAACTGAAATATAAAGTCGATATTTACATCAAAGTTGATGCATGTATTTATACGTCATATGTTTTCGACAGAGGATTAGTTACAAGAAAAATATTTTTGCAATACGATAAGCAATTAAATTGGTGTTGATTTACAGCATGTTATTGTATCTGTATGAAAGAAACTAATCTATAACCATTGAATAAGCAATTCTTCCTCATAAGCAAAACACCTTACAGTCCTTACACAAAGGCAGTACATGCACCTACGTACTCAGCAGTACATGCGCCTACCGGTACTCAGGTTTGTATGCGGTGTGTTTGACTGCCACTAAAGGCTGCATTCCAGTTACGCGTTTTTCATACGTGCGTACACGCACGTAAAAGTTGAATTCGCTTTACATCCTACTTATGAAATAACTAAATTTATAAAAGGACAGCATTCAGTTTTGTGTATGATTGTGGGTTACTAGAAATAGTTCATTTCGTCAACTCAAACAATTTTTTTTGGTGTTGTTGTCGTTGCAAACAATTATTTTGCGCCTGCTTCCTTCTGCAAACATTTTTTTTTGTCCATCTGATTGATGTGGATTTCATTATAAATTTATATATATATATTTATATATATATATATATATATATATATATATATATATATATATATATATATATATATATATATATATATATATATATATATATATATATATATATATATATATATACCTTTGTTCATGGCACTTGTATTTAGAAACCACGTCTAAAACACTAACTCGGATTTGAAATATTACATAATTATAGTAAATTCGAAGGTGGAGCTCATGCTGGATCGAACAACATGTAGTGTTGTCGGAAGTGTAAATTTAATATGTAAACAGACATTTAATATTTTTTGGTATACTGGTCAGGGCCTTTTTTAAGGATTTTCCCGTGCGGGGGGGGGGGGATTTTTTGAAAATGGAACTTTCCGTGAGATAATAAATTGGAGAGGGATAGGAATGGCTGATGGCCACGGGGTCTGGGAATGGCTGAAGGCCACGGGGTCTTTGAAGCCCGGAAATGCCATTTCCTGCATTCTGAGCATTTAAATTTGCTCTAAAATTTATGCTAAGTATACTTGTGTTTGAAAAAACGTACAAAAAATTATTAACAATAATTTATCATTATACTTAGTGGTAGAAAAACGTAACAATTTAAATCGATTTTGTTAAACAAGGACAAAGGATAAAGCCTAAAACTTAAGGTACAATTTTGACCGGGGGATGGGGGTAGGGGGCAAAATGTGATTTTGTGGGGGGCATAAGGGGACATTCCCCCCCTCCCCGGCTTGTATGTTAAAAAGGCCCTGATACTGGTCCTTTCATTATTTACGCTACACAATGTCTTACACCAGTACTTGTCCAATTACCTATTTTATACAAAAAAAAACACAACAAAAAAACCCTCCAAAAATGACTGTATTCAATAGATTAATATTTATAACCCATATGTAGATTGCGACATGTGCCCAGCGTCTCCCATATATATCCCAGGGCTTTTGGGGTGAAGACTCAGGGTATGTCGGTGAGCACTCTGTTCATTGTTATATCAGTAAACCTTGGTTGATGTTCTATAATCTCATTAGCTTGCAAACTATTTTTTTCCTCTTCTCTATGTGTGCAAACAATTTATTTGCACTTTTTTGTCTTTGCATGCAAACAATTTTTTTAAGAATTTTCCATTCCCCCCTCCAAAAAAATAATGGTCCGTCCCTGAACTGAATACGTAGTTGACCGAACCGCAGGTTCGATTCCTGCCAGGGGACCTATAGTTTTCGCAACTTCATCTGGTTAGGTCAAGAAATGTGTCAGAAATTTGCGTTCGAAAATACCATCTACAAAAAACTCATCTAGTATTAGTTCTATTGAAGGAGATGCCCAAAAATCTCGAAACATGTATTTCCCTTTCATTCCAAACAGATCCTTCAGGCATGATCGACAGCTCTACATTTCGAGATGATTGGTTGGCAGTCCATATCAGTACAAACTGTCATCTCGTATCTGCCCCCCCCCCCCCCCCCCCCCCCCCCCTCCTCCATCATAGTCAATTGCCTATATCACGTGTTAAATCATGCAATGTAATATTCTGCACGTTGTTTTTTACAGCTCTGATTGGTTCAATCAACTATGGCATGATGTTCCTCAATGGTCCAATAGCAGCGGCGTTGGCAGCCAAATATGGATGTCGAGCAACTTCAATGGTTGGGAGCGCTATATTCTCATTGGGCTTCCTTTTATCTTCTTATGCCCAACATATCGTCACGTTATACGTCACCTATGGCGTTATGGTTGGTTTTGGTGCTAGTTTGTGTTATTTTTCGTCGTTGGTAGCTGTTGGACAATATTTTTACAACAAATTATCTTTAGCAAACGGTATTATCTCATCAGGTAGTGGGATTGGATCTCTGGTAATGGGTCCAGTGATGAATAACTTGTTAAAACATTTAGGATGGAGAGATACACTACGTGTGTATGCTGGCATGGCTGCTCTAATTTTTATGAGTGCTATCTTATATCGTCACATCAACACCAGCGGCGTTCAGCAAGACGATGGTGCGAAAAGCAAAGCAAAGCCAGAGAAAGCGAAATTTATTGATTTCACAATTTTTAAAAATACAGCGTACATCATCTGGTGCGTGGCTCTGTCAATCTATATCTTGGGATACTTTGTACCTTTTGTTCATTTGGTAAGCTCATCTTTTATTTTTTACTGGTATAGGAAAGTTGGAAAGATATTTCTTATTACTTACTTTGCAATGTCTACCATGCCTCATTTTCTGATCTCTATCCATAGTGTATCTGACCGGTTCTCTTTCATCCCAGTCTTCCCTCCATTCTACTACGATGCCTACTACCCTCTTCATGTTATGTTGGTGTTACATTAAGTATAGAACGTTGCATCAGGGGGGTCGGGGGATTTTGGAAGTGAGCACATGTGTGTAGGTTTTATGTTTTAGGTACGTTGAAATAAATAACGATTTTGAAGATATAACATTGGCGACGAGGGTAAATTTATGCATTACCGGTTAATATTAAAAAAGAGTGATTCATTTTGGGTGTTTGCGAGAAGTGAAGATTCAAACGTGAGATAAAAAATCGGCGGACAATCTGACATATACGGTATTTGTGCCATTTTGTGAAGGTATTTGATCATGGCGAGCGCGAGAAATCTACAACCCATGCCACCGTTTGACCCTAAGATGGATGTTAGTGCTGTAGCACAACGTTGGGAACAATGGCTTACGAGATTTCAAAGATATTTGCTGGCAATGGATATCAAGTCGAAAGCACGGCAGCGGGCTATGCTTTTGTACGCGGCAGGTCCCGAAGTGGAGGCCATTT